ACCTTTTGAGAAAAACTTTACCATAAGTAAAATTTGAACAAAGTCAAATAATAGAGGTAGTAGGCTTCAACTGATCAATTACTAGTCACTCTTTTTTTCAGTTACTATTCACATGACACTTGACAGAATAATCATTTGCAAATTAAAGAGCAAGTTGAGATTATTCAATACCTACATTAAAACTATATACGCACTTGGCCTCACAAAAATGACATTTAATCACACCACCACACTTTTAACAACACATGCCGACTTCCACTCCCATCTATTGCATCTTTGTTAAAATTTCCACTTAACAGATGAGAGTTTAGTATAACAGTATCCAATTTTGTAAAATATGCTACATTAGGCTACTTGTAGATTAACTGAATTCTAAATAAAGAACATCAACAGTATGATTAATTCTACACTGATATAATCCTGGCTTTGGTTTGTGCCACATTTGTAATAAAACCTAGTAATAAGTTTCTAAACTGCATTTAAGGAAACAAACAGCCAACTGTATAGCATTTTGTAAAAAATACTGCTCCAATATCACAGTACAAATGGCATAAACACATTATGCATGAACTGCTCACAGCTGTTTCTCAAGATTAAGAAGACGATGAAGTGAATGTGAGACAAAGAAGAACACTGTAGAAATAACAACGATCACTTCAAGCTGGTAAAATACTCTAACTCAGAGGTTCTCAATCCAAGATCTTTGTACTTGGGTGGGTAATACTGCAACTTTATCTTCATGCACATCTACCTGAAATTTAGGATATTCTTCAGTTATAATTGTAGACAACAAACTACATGAACTTTAGCAATACATCTGTGACATTATAACAGAAATCACATATACTTTCATGTTACTTTACAGTTGTTACAAGTATCTCAAAATAATTTATGCTCATTATAATAGCTAGAATACTACTTCTATTTCATGCATCATATGATAAATACGTAAATATAAATTAGTTTTCAAATAAGACAGCTATTTTTATACCACTGGTTTCCTTTGTAATTCTACTTTCTACATTTTAAACATAATTTTGAGAAGTAGTTCACACAGTTAACCTATTAAAGAAGTTCACAGCAAACACAAAAACAAAAAAGAATTAGGAACTCCTGCTCTTATAAGTAAACCTTAGAAGAGTGAAATTCAGAGTGATTAACGGTGACCAGACAAGCAACTGACTAATCAAAACCTCAAGTGTCACAGCTAACAAGAATTAAGTTTGCAAGGAACCAAATGAAAAGTACCTTTTCCCTATTTGCAGGCTGCTCCATGTCATGTATCTCACTATAAGCTGATAATAAGTTTGAGGAAACCAGCTTATTACACCAAATCAAAGCCCAGATTGAAAAGAAATAGAACAAAAGAGGGAATTATTTTGTCAATCTCCAAACCAGATTCCTTTCCTAAAAAGTCACAAATAAAGCAAACCTACCATTTGTAGCAAACAACTCTAAACCAAGAAAAGTGATCACCCTTATTGCTTATTTAAGAAAGCCAAGATAAAAAGAACAGAATGTGCAGAAAAATATGTGCTGCACTAGAACTCTGGTTCAACCTTCGCAATCATCAGTACTGTCCAAGAAAGACTTCCACCTGGTTCCCAGGGCCTCCAGGACCTGGACTCAAATGCCAAAGGCGCCTTCTTGTCTTCTTCTACATTCAACTTCTACTCTCCTTAGCCCAGGACCACACCAGTCATTCCCAGCTCCATACCTCTGCTCTGACCTGCAACAAAATGTATTCCACCTGTCCTTCAAGTCAGTTGCATGCAACTTTTGTCTTCATTGAGCTCTCCCCTTGTCTGAGAGGATTCAGAACCCACCAATTTAGCATTTAGTTCCCCAAATGTTCCACTACTGTTTCATTCAGAACCCAAGGTTCCTAGAAGGACACAACTGTCAATAGTTAACTGAATAATAAGAGTAACAGAACGTCTCAAACTGCTGCTAAACTCACTAACCACAAAAAACTAAACTATGATAATTAAGTCATTCCTCCTCTCAAGTGTCTTCTCTTTGCCTATAGGCAGCACAGCGTAAGACTCACAACACTATCCCTTCAACCTCTCTAGTTATTTTTCTTCAACCTAAACCACCAACCAGACTGACTACTTATACATTATCTACTGAACAATACCTGTTTTACTATTTCCTCCACTAGAATTCTCATTTGCTTCCTCTACAAATAAGTTTTTCAAGGCACAGCTAAAGAACCACCTCTTCCACAAGTCCTTTCCTTCCCGAGGCCAGAGTACACTCTCCATAGTTGTAGGGTTCCAAGGACATGGGCATAAATGGTTGCATCCCTTGTCATTGAGTACTTCCATGCACTATTTAAATGACAACATGAGTTACAACGACTAACTTGAGAGCAACTCAAGAGGAGGAAAGGGAATCTTACTCTATTCATGAAAGATATGCTTGGCTACAAAGAACAAAAGATATGAACAGAAGGCTCTATCTGTAGAACACAGATCTGTGGTCTCTCTGAAGTTACCTGCAAAACTGAGTGCCAGAGAATTATGTACATTTTTCTCATGAGACGGACCATGGTTTCTGATCAGATGGCCACAGAGTGAGCCTGGATAGATTAAGTTCTGATTCAAGCAGTAACTTTCCCGGATATTATAAAGTATAGTTATCTGTATATAAGGCATAAGCTGGATCCAAAGGACACACATACTGGAAAACATGGTAGCTCTCAAGGAGTAGCCTCCAGACCTCCTGAAAGGCTAGTTTCAAATTTTAATTTTGGGAAGCATATTACAGAGGATGCACTAAGATACTATAATAGGGATGGGGGAAAGTCCCCTGAAACCTCGTTCTGTTAAAGCAATGCAGAAGAAATGGGATAAGGTTTGGTCCTTGCCCTCAAGGAGTTCACAATCCAGCAAGGACTATTAGACAAGTAATCACAACACAAGACCTTCTCTTAAAGGAAACACAAAATGCTATGGAGTTCAAGGGAGGCAGACATGACAGATTTCTGGTTTGGTTATTAAGAAAGAAAGGTGACAGTACTGAACCTTGACAAATGAAGAGGATTTAAATTAGAAATAAAAAGTGGAATAAATGTAATGAAAACCAAAAGGGTAAGGATAAAATGTAAGAAACAAACACCAATTTCCAATAGAAAAGAAATCCTTCCTTCTTAACAACTACTAGCTCTTATTACAGTAACATTGAGAGACTTAAAGATACTAGGATCTTAAAGATACTAGGAGGCTTAGGCCAGTGGTTCCCAGGTATACTATTAAGACACCCCGTACAAGAATGTATAAAACAATCTACTCAGAAAAGAATTATGGCCCGTGAGATAAAACAACACTCACATCATGACAGTACTATGTCTGTGTAAAAATGCCTCTATGTTGCAGCAACCAAAACATGCATAGGAAACCTGAATCCAACAAGAGATTAACTTTCAAAATAATGTTTACTTTTAAAAACTGCTGAGATATATGGTGAGGACACCCTTGGTTTTACATTTTTGAACAAGTGGTAGCTATGATGTAATCATGCTAACTACTTGTGGGTACACAAAAGTACATTTCTCTTCAAGTTCTAATAATTGTCCAGCCTCCAAAAACTGGTAAAATTATTTTGAAACCAAACATTAATAAACCAAAAAAAGAATCTCAACTCTGATTATGAAGTAAAGAACAGTTAAATGAAAGAGAACCATATTTTTGTTCATAAGAAATTTGAGACAAACTCTTCTTAAAAAACACAGAAAGGGTTAGATAGTACTACACTGGGAATTGACACAAAGACCCAAATATGGCCATAAAGAAGAAGAGAAAGCATAGAGAGTCAATTCATATGGGGAGGCGGGCACACCTAAGGAGAAGAGTGTACACTTTTAGTTTACTCTCTCTCTGAAAAAAAGATTTGTTAATTTAATCTTATATAATATGCACATTCACACAATCCCTTAAAGGTATTTCTTGTTCATAAGCCACACAGGAGACTTAAATTAAAGGGATTTCTTTTGGAAAACTTCTTATGGTTAACTTTTTACTTTAGCTGTCTATCAACCAAAATTCATTTAGTATCAACTATTTATGACAATAACTAAACGTAAAATATGGCATAACTAATCTCGAAAGATCATAAGCTAATTTTCCTTCATAGAATTTCTAAACTTCAAAATGAGATGCTAACCTTTCAAACCTAGAAGTCTGTATTAACGATCTATTACAAAACTACTAAAGAGTAACAGAAATTCACAGTCAATCAAACTGCTTCTGCCACAAGGGAGAACTTATACTTAACAAGATTGGGAAACTAACTGCCCCTCTTTTCTAGTTCAGAGAGCTGACCTTCCTTTAAAAAAAATAAACACAGAGATCAGGTAACCCTAAAGGTAGTCCTACACATCTTCAAAAACAGAAGGCAGACTTACAAAATTTTCCACAGACTTACGAATTTTAAAAAAAAGAGCCAAGCAATTTCATGGTAGATTTTATGTTGAATGATTTGTGTGTGTGGTTTCCTATGATCACATTCTAATACTTTTGAAAGGTACCAAATCCTTATCTATGTTATCTGGAGTAACCTGTTTAACTGTAAGATGTAACTGATAAGATGACCTGGCACTACACTCCTGACAGTGGTGGACAGCAGAGTTTTACTATTATAAAAACAAAACAAACCAACAGCATCACAACCACATAAATCTTGAGAGAGATTCATTTTGCACCCAAGAAGGTTGTGTTATAAGAGGCAACACTACCTCATCCACTCCCCAGCTGCTGAGGAGAGAGAATAGCCAAAGGAAGTACATATAGAGCAGGGTGGCCTCTTGCCAGTGACCTCAGCATAGGGACCAGCTTCATGAGGGGACTCTGTAAACCTACATCACTAACAGGTTCATAAGGGCTAGCTATAAATAGCCTGAAACAATGCCACCTCCCCCCATCTCCCCATCCTTAATTACTTCAACAATGTGCTGGCTGGAGGGAGAGTAGAGAGGGTGACAGAGACACACACAGTACCTGTTGTTGAGAATTGTAGTCAAAAAGTCCCACAGTTGCTGCTGCTGAGTCCACAGGTACCTGCGTGCCTGAATAATCAAACTGAAGAGGCTCCATGCCCACATGTTCCATGGGGTCCAAGGGGACACTCTGGGACTCCATGTTGGAGAAATCCTCCACAGGCTTGGCACCATTGGTGCTGGTCAGCTGGGCTAAGCCCTCAGAACCATTCTGGTTTGGACCCAGAAGATCCACTTCATTAGCAGAGTTCGGGCAATTACCAGGGGTACGGCTAAACAGAAAAAGTAAAGGGCATTAAACCTTATTTTCAGCGGGGAGGGACACTACAGTAACCCAAGTTTAAGGACAATGTCCTCAGCATAGCTCATTATCAACAGTATTTAAAACTATTTCTATAAAACCACCAGAGATACTTTACAATGCTTACAGGGTTACATCCTCTAAACTGATGCTGCTATTGCTGGCAATTCCATGTAACCCACCCCTTAAATTCACATTAATTGCTAATAATTTACACCCCTTCGCCAAGGGAACCGGGTCTGAGGAAAACCGAAATAAGGTGGAAAAATCACTATGGCAACCATGAAAACAGATCCCAAAATGCAGGTAGCAAAATATGCCCCATCAAAAAGCATTATCTACTCTTTAAATATAGAGCCAATGGAAAAAGTCCGTTTCCAGGGGGAATTCCACAACTCAGTGATCCTAAAGTTTTATGTTCCTGGCATATTTGTGAGGGAAAAAAGAAAATGGAAAAAGTTTTTACTTATCATTGGTTTACTGACTAACACTAAAACTAACTCCCCCTCTATGAAACCAAAAGGAGTAGACAATTCCAAAGTAGGACAAGATAAACTCATTATCTGTGTGCCCCTGTTAAGGACACAATTCTAAGAATTGAAAGTAATGTGAAGATGCAATTTATCATCCAAAACCAGGACATCCCTAAGAGCAAAAAAAAAAAAAGGCAGGGGAGCATCATTGATAATTATCGTGGGACACAAGGCTCTGGGTAACCCAGGATCTACCACTACCTTATATAAAGGGACTTCCGAATTAATATGATCCCAAATCACACCAATATACAATATTTATCAGGAGAGTGTAGCCTGTAGCTACATTAAATGCCCTTCTTCTCCACCTCCACACCCCCCCACCCCAAAAAATTCTGTAGTCCAGTAACCAGTACATATTAAAGGTATTATCTGGTTCCTTCTCTTTCTTTCACTCACCCATACACACACACACACACACACACTCTCTCATCAACACCACTGGCACTGCCAGCCCCCATTTAAATACAACAAAATACTGCTATACAGGCTGCTGGACATTCAAGGTAGAGGGGACCCCTGACCTCATCTGAAAGACCTTAGTTAAGTATTTATTGCCCTGTGCCTTAAATTTCTTCCAAAGACTGTAATTCAGGTTGGGCATGGAAGCTCATGCCTGTAATCTCAGCATTTTGGAAGGCCAATGCAGGCAGACCACTTGAGCACAGGAGTTCACGACCAGCCTGGGCAACATGGTGAAACCTTGTCTCTACAAAAGATACAAAAATTAGTCAGCATGGTGGCGGGCGGCTGTAGTCCCAACTACTCAGGAGGCTGAGGTGGCAAGACTGCTTGAGCCCAGGAGGTAGGGGTTGCAGTGAGCTGATTTCGTGCCACTGCACTCCAGCCTGGGTAAACAGAGTGAGACTCTGTCTCCAAAGAATAAATAAATAAAAATAATTTTTAAAAAATTCTAAGACTGCAATTATTCACACATGCAAGATAACAATAATCACATTAGAAATACAAAACAACTGAGACTTGTCCTACAACAATGATTCATTTTGACTTTGGCAGACATTAGAATAAGCAGAGGGTGTGTGTGTACGTGTGTGCGTGCGCACATGCTCACACACACACGTTAGCTTTAGATTGATATTAAAATTACTCCGAAGTAAATTCTCTACCTGTACCATCACACTGGGGATTAAAAAATATTCTCTACCTGTATATAACTGGACAAGGATTTTTACAGATTTTTAAAGAATACATGCCAATTGTGGAAGATAAATATACATTATTTTAATACTCTGTAAAGTAAGTTAACGCAAAAAACCTGTAAAAATCAATCATGACCAGAGATGGGATGAGAGGCATCTGCAGAAGAGATATGATTAAAAACAAATCATTTAAGCTGCATCTCAGGTTCTTCAAAATGAGGACAATGATACCTGGTCCACCTACCTCAAAAGGAGCTCATGAGACAATGCACAAGTTCTCAACTGTTTTTCCCTCTAAACTGCCAGAGGGATATAACATACTCGATTAGTAACCACAGCTCTCTAATATAGTGATTTGGGAGAAACTTAAGAAAGGTCCCAAAGCATCTATCCTAGGTGATTTTAATACTTGAGAATCACTGAAATAATCTTCTCTGGAATCTTTCTGCAAACTCTAGAGTTCTATGCAAATGCAAAATCTACCATTTTGGCAATGCTTCAAGCATTGACAACTTTTAGAAAATTCCACCTCACCAGTTAATTTACAATCTTTGTAGCATGGCCTACACTAGATTGGATTCTTAAAAAGAAAACATGAGGAGGGGAAGAAAATGAAAATCAAAGTAAAACTAAATCAAACAAAAACCCATAGCCCACATTCAAAAATCAGAAGTGTAAAACATACAAACCTAAAATCTTTGACGTCTGCATCAATCCCATTCTGCACTGGTAAACCATTGGTCTTGTCCATCACATCACCCTCCTCCTTCAAATCTCCTAGCTTATCTCCATCAAACGTACCCTTGTTCTTCTTTTCACCTTTGTCGTTTTCATCACTGTCTGCATCCCTTGGGCCCTGTTTAAAAAATAGCTTCAGCTTCACTAATCATCATCAACTAATAATAATGGGCAACCGTTGTAGGCACCAGACTACACTAGATGCTACTCAGAACAGGATAGTGTTGTGCCCTTTCAGACGTTACAATCTAATTAACAAACAACACAGAGGCAGGAACACTGCAGAAGGTCTTGCCAAATGGGGGAGACAAACATACATTTATGTTACAGAGTTCAGAACAGTCTTACTATACCCAATGTTCCACCAACCCATTTTCTTCCTTCCTTTTTTTTCTTCCTACCCAAAGCCCAGCTACAACTTTGTAGCTCTTGGTCAAGTTCTCTACTCTCAAACCTAACTTTATATAATAGCATGACTCTTAATAAGTCCCAGGTATGATAGTGAATAGTACAGAAAAAAAAATTGTCAAGACTGTAAAAAGAAGTTTATACTTCTCCACTGCGCTATGTAAATTCCTCCCTTACTTCTAAATATTGAGCCAAGTGCGGTCTGACATCGTTCCAACTCAATTATTATGTACCTGATCTTGGGATATATGCCCTGCCAATTTGCATCACCTCCCAGCTCTACCCTATAAGCCTCACAGGTTATGCATCAACAATTCACTGATGACCCTTAAATTTAATGCCTCAAAAACAAGTTAATTCTAACTATGAGATTCTTTCACCAAAAGTATTCTAATAACTATCTTCTACCATCTACTGGTAACAAAGATTATTCATAAGATCTAAGTGGAAGCATGTTAAATTGAAGCATCTGATGCAAGAGAATTTCTCTCTGAAGTGTTTCAAAATACAAAGCTTAAAATGCTGGGCCTAAAATAATTTATCAGGTGCCAGACATGTCATGTTTATGTCCTGCCTTCTAAGGAAATTAAGTCTATCTCTTCTTACCAACATCCCAAGTTAAGCCCTGGACATATAAAGCCAATGTACCTTGATTTCCAAAAGGAAAAGATTTGATATAGAGACTTGACATAGTATACAGAGATTTGCAGAACCTTACGCCAAAGGATTAAGGATTTAACCTTTGGTTTTGTAAAACTAGAGGAAAGCAGCCTTGCTTTCCCCCACCACTGACTCCTGGTTTAAGGAAGAGAAATGCACGTGGACCAAGTTAAAGTTCCTGGTACAAGGCAAGATCCACTCTATAAAAGATGAGAGTGGCTGCAAAGCATTTCCAGTCACCAAAACCAAATGTCAATGGAGAGAAATCAACAATGGAGGACACAGCAGCAGACACTCGGTTATGGACAGACTGACTATGGATGGGCCTGTATATGCAAAACCAACAGATGCTCTCAGAGAAGTTCTTAAGAGATCACTGGCCCAGAAAGGCTGACATTCTTAAACCTTTCAACTACTCCTTCAGAGACCATTTTACTTCTAAGTTATTCTCTGTTCAAATGTGATACAGAAAAAGATAACATAAAAAAGGAACAAATATGACAAGGAACTGAGAAAGGATATACAACTTAGCTTCATGTGGAATCAAGACAGTAAATCACAGCTTTGGCAGCCACTGAGATGTGCCTTTCAGAATAGAATCTCTAAAGTATGTCGCTGTTATTGATTCAAAAGAACTGAATGATAGCCAATTATGGACCACATTGAGATTTCCCAAAGCAGAGAGATGGGAACATGACAGGGTTCTAAAGGTAAAAAGATCTTTTAAAATATCCAAAGGCAATAGGTTCCCCCATACTGCAAAGGCAAAACTGACTAAAGGTGTGTATTCATTTTTATACCTCTAGCACTGACTACAGTGCCTGATGTAAGTTCAATAAATGTGATTTAAAAAATTAAAAGAAACAAAAAATCCTGCAAAACTGAACTGTTAAAATAAGAATGATCTTCCTGTTGCCTTTATTATCATTAAGTAAGAGTCCAGGAGGTAGTAATATGATCCAGATGACAACTCTGCCTGAATCAGAAACCATTTATGTCAACAGCAAAAGAATACTACAAGAATCATCCACTGCCATGACTAAGTCATCTTCTTCCACAAGTCAACAAATCAAATCACTGGCTCAGAAGAAACAGTTCACCTCCAACTGCTCAAAAGGTCTACAGGCAAAAATGGAAAGAAAGGGCCAAGGCATGGTGGCTCACGCCTGTAATCCCAGCACTTTGGAAGGCCAAGGCAGGTGGATCACTTTAGGTCAGACCAGCCTGGAGTTCGAGACCAGCCTAGCCAACTTAGTAGAAACCCTGTCTCTACTAAAAATACAAAAAGCAGGCAGGCATGGTGGCAGGGGCTCATAATCCCAGCTACTCGGGAGGCTGAGATGGGAAAATAACCGGAACCTAGGAAGTGGAGGTTGCAGTGAGCCAAGATTGTCCCATTGCACTCCAGCCTGGGCAACAAAAGCAAAACTCTGTCTCAAACCCCCCCAAAAAAGGCAGGGGGAAGAAGATAAAGAAGCAATAGGAAGTTTCAACAACAAGCAAGACAGCTGGTTGCAAAGGATGTGCACTAGTCAAACCAATGCTCTGCGTTATCTTTTCAGGGACTCTTTACAAGGGCTTGCTGAGAACCTGCTCAGCTCATCTACATGCTGGCTGTTTGGCCTAAAATCTCGTGTGTGTGGGGGGGGGGGGGGGGGGGGCGGGGGGCGGGGGCAGTGTTTGTTCTTTCTTATTAAGATGGAGTCTTGCTCTGTCATCCAGAATGGAGTACAGTGGCATGATCTCAGCTCACTGAAACCTCCACCTCCCAGATTCAAGTGATTCTCCTGCCTCAGCCTCCCCAGTAGCTGGGATTAAAGGCACATCTTGACCACTAAGTTATGATCTCAGCCACTAATTTACATTCTCAACTATACTCCCACAGGCTACATTTTCAAATATTTCCCTGCAATGAGCTGCATTTTACCAGTATCATACAAGCCATTCTTACAAAATACCTGGGTTTCTACTTTGAACAAGCTAATGATACCTACTAAAATAGTACTTCCCTTTAGAGGGTGGGGGACCCAAGAAAGGTTTTTAATTCTTGATCTGGATGGCTGTTATATAGGTGTTTTCATTTTGTAGAAATTCAGGAAGATTAACATTTATGGCTTGTATACATCTCTGAACATAGGTCATATTTCAACAGAAAGTTTACTTAAGGAAAAACAACTCAAGAAATCAACAATAGCCCTCCATAAAAATGGTTGGCAAAAGTCTGACTTTTGAATAAAATCAAAAGTACAAATGGGAAACCATTCTGTCAAAAGTCTGTTATTAAGAGATCATAGGAGCTGCAAAAGGTGGCTCATGCCTATAATCCTAGCACTTCGGGAGGCAGAATCGGAAAAGTTGTAGGTTGAGGCCTAGAGTTCAAGACCAGCCTGGGCAACACAGGGGATGCCATCTGTACAAAAATACTTAAAAAAAAAAAAAAATTTAGCTGGGCGAGGTGGCATGAGCCTGTAGTCCTTGCTATTCAGGAGGCTGAAGCAGAAAGACCACTTGAGCTCAGGGGATCAAAGCTGCAGTGAGCTATGATCTGTCAATGCACCCAGTCTGGGACAGGGTGAGACCCTATCTTTAATTGATTAGACAGACAGCAGTATCAGGTTCAAGATCCTTAAAATGGTCTCTTAAAAACATGAAGACCCTAGAGACAATAGAAGCAAGGTATAAATAGGCTAAGTTTTATGAGAATTTTAACACTTTTGAAAAATATGTAAGATAAACTATTCATAGCTATGTGATTTTTTTTTTCACCCTGACTGGAATGCAGTGGTGCAATGATAACTCACTGCAGCCTTGACCTCTAGGGCTCATGCAATCCTTCCCACCTTAGCTTCCCAACCAGCTATGACTAGAGGTGCACTACCATGCCTGGCTGATTTTTCTATTTTTTGTAGCAATGGGGTCTTACTATGTTTCACAGGCTAGATTCAAACTCCTAGCTTCAAGCGATCCTCCTGCCTCAATTTCTCAAAGCTCTGGGATTATAAGTGTGAGCCATAACACCTAGTCCAATCTTTTAAAAAGTACAAAACCAGGGTGTACAGAACCTACACTCTATCTCAACTGCTAACACTTACTGGTCACAGGACTTTGGACAGGTCATTTAATCTCTGAGACTCTGTTTACTCATCTATAAAACAGAGACAATTTTGTTTAAAGCAGAATTATGAACAACAATGAAATCATGCATGTGTATAAGTTTTATAAATATAGGCCATTTTACACAAATGTAATATCATATCAGTAATAAAGAGACACACTGAGATGGTATTTCTTATGTAACACTAGATATGGCATCAAGAATAAAAATCTTAAACAACCCAATTAAACAGTTTAAATCTTAAATACAAGTATGTAGCCAAATGGCGCTCCCAGGGGCACTGTCATTTTCACAAAGCAGTGTTTCTATGCTTAGGGTTAATCATCGCAATCTTTTTCAAATTCATAGGTGTCTGGGCCCACTCTCTGCACCAGAGATTGATTTGATTGGTATATAGAGGTTCCTGCAAATGTTGTAGAAATCTTCTCCTCAAATAGCTCTGATAAGTATCCACAATTGAAAACCAATGTAATGAAATCCATCATAAGCATAAGAAAGGCATGGTTTGTGATTTGCTTTTTTTTGTTGTTATTACATATTATCTAGTACATATAGTATTGGAAAAGTCTATTAGCTAAATGAATAAATGAAAAAGGCTTAACAGCAACTTTTAATTATGAACTTTCCTTAGCTGAAGGTTAACCCAAAGCTATAGTGCTCAAATGCAAAATTCAGTGAAATGCTCAAATTGCAAGTGGCCAAGCCCAATCAAAATCTCAAGTGCGACCAAGATGGCTGCTGAGAGATCCCAGACCTACACAGAGGTAGAGAAACTGCTAAATATCAAAGAACTGGGAGAGAAGCAGACATAGGTAGAACAACTATATGATGTTGAGATCAGAATCCATGAACCTAAGGCTCAGCTTCCTCCAAAAACTCACATAAAGGGAGGAATACTTTCTAATCTATCTATTAATTCTAAATGAAGTCAGAAG